GCATTCCAAAGACTAGAGTATATTCGCATCGGTTGGCTCTTCGGGTACGGAACCCCTAAGGGTTCCAAGTTCTTGAACTCTCTTATAGGCTTCCCATCTACAGAAAATCTGCATATAGATAAAAACCCTCATATTATATATTGGTATTTCACATCTTTGTTGTGAAAAATGGAATAATTTGAGATAAAGTCTTGTAAGATAGGGATTTTAGGCTGTACTTACACAACATGTCCAGGATTCCAGAGAATGGAATAAGTGTGAAATTTGGCTGTGGGATCAAACCATAGATAGAATTGTTGCTCTCTGTTGCCATTGCCTTGTGTGTACACATTTGTGTGGACAATATAAGGTTCGCCACTCAAATTCCCCAAGAATTCAAAGTCCAACTCGTCCCACATGGAACCTTGTGAACGTAACTGCAATATTTATTGGTATTAACATATCATGCAATAATAAAAATAACAAGAGATAATAAGTAAATAAACAAATGAGATAGTAGCATAAAAGATATATATATATATATATATATATATATATATATATATAAACCGACTTTATTCCCAACCTTTCGACGTCCTAACTTTTTTCCCGTATTAATGAACGTGGACATTTTTTGAATACCTAACAATTAAGGAATGAAACTCGTGTATCATATAAATTGATGTTGAAAAGATGAGATTAATTGGATTGCCTAGTATTATTCAACAAATAAATAATGAATAATAATCCAATATTGGCCAGTGCACTCCCACAAGCTAAATCTTTTCAAGTGTGACTTCTATTTATGTATCTGTTAGTTTACCAATATTTATTCAAAATATATTAAAGACTTAATACGTGATAACAATTTTAAACGGAGAAAAAAAGTGCAATTACATAAATTTGAACTCAAGATCTTTCATTACATAGGTTTAAACCACTCTAATACCATATTAATATACTAATCCATCCTAAAAATTTAAGTTATTAGGAAGTAGGCCAACAAGAAGCTAATGGAACTTACGTAGTAAGCAGTAACAACGCCGGCGGAATTTCCTGGGACGAGCTTGATCTTCATATCGAACTTCCCGTAGATGAAGTCATTCTTTGACTGAAAGCCTGAGCCAGAAGCTTGATCAAGCGAGAGAGTTAGGAGCTTACCGTGTTTCAGTATCATGGCACGACCATTTCCCCAAGTGATGTCAACATCTTGATAGAAGTTATCATTAGCTATGACAGCAATATTGTGGCTCAATGAGCTTATAAGGAATAGAGAAACAATAAAGAGAACCATTTTTGAATCAGACATATTTGACAAATGCATTATTCTAGCTTTTAGTGCTTGATTTGTTTGATGTTTCGTAAGGTGAAAATGATCTTTGGTTTTGACCAATATATACATAGAGAGGGAGCATAGGAGAGTTTTGGAGAATCTTCTCAAGGCAGTTGGTGAGTGGGACATAGCTGTGAAGCACAAGTGAAAAGCGAGACATGAAATGGGGGTGTGTGTGTGTGTGTGTGTGTGTATATATATATATATATATGTATATATGTATATATGTATATATGTATGTATGTTTAATCATAAGTAGCGCAATAACTTGGTGGTCTTAAGAGGGAGATTATTTTACTTGTAAGTCGATAGTGGAATATTTCGCAATTTGCCTAGGTTGGTTTTACCTACCCCAGGTTTGTGGCTCCTGTGGAGAAAACGATATTCCCAAAACAAAAGTTTTGAATTAATTAAAGTGGAGCCAACATTTCTCTAGTTGGTTCCACATGGTTCCTACAAAATTCTAGAAAGGTCGAGATAGTGATGTATACTCAAAGATTCCTCAAAACTCTAAATGCCAAGAGTTTTTCTCATATTTATCATATTTAGAAAAGTTTTAATACGGCAAATTCTGTATCCTTTTTTTTTTTTGAAAACTTTGGTATTTTTTTAGTACAAGAAATAGTATAGTTTTAGGGGTAAAAGACCTTTCGGTTGTGATCCGTCGGAGAAAATAAAAGGCGTGCACTACAAAATGGAAAGGAGTTAACGTTGACAACAAATTGACGTCATCGCAATTTAAGGTTCCTTCAGTTGCAGTGGGGGATTGATAATGAGAGTAGAAATGAGAATAGTAATGAAATAGAATAGAAATGAAATATGATTCATTTGTTTAGTCCTATTTTTATAAATTCAATAAAATGGGATATGAATATTTTCATGTTGACAAAATTACCCCTCATATTAATATAACTAATATCATATATATTAATATAATCATTTAATAACTAATATTATATACATAAAATTATAAGGATATAATATATATAATTATAATTATAGTTATATAATTATTTATTATTATAATACAATCATAATATATA